ACATACAGGTCTTCTTTATTCTACATTATTCCATTGTATAAGTCTATCATAATTTTTATTTTCCCAGTTCCTTTTAAATCGACATTTAGATTCTCTCCAGGTTTAATTACCACAAACTACATTGTGATGAGCGCCCTTGTACCTCTGTCTTCGGGATCTTGTTAACCAGCTTCTGAATCGTTCTGAATTGCCCTCTTGGCATTTTATCCACATCTGTTTGTGGACCAGTCTCCCAGCTCCCCTGCAAAGAGCAAACATTATTCATTTTCAACCCTAGCGACGTTATAGGAAAATAGTTTTTCACTTAGTGACCAGTAGGAGCAGTGGTGGAGCTAGACTCGCTCTGTGAATTACCTGGATGATTTCCATTGTGCCAGCCCAAGTCCCCTCAGATGTCCTCGGTGTAGCCGATGTCTGACCCTAACCCTTCTGTCTCCCCGTGTTTTGCAGTTGCGCCAGTGGCCTGACTCATACACAAAGAAGTTTGAGCACAGAATCTACCCCATCACGTTTTCTGTTGGAAACCCTCAGGAATGGAAGAAATTATTCAAGCCCTGTGCTGCCCAGAGACTCTTCCTTCCGGTAGGAACCCTGTTGTTAACAACCTGCAGCTTGAAAACAGTGAAATCACCTGAGGTGTGTTAGAGACCCTTACTGCGGGGGAATAAAAGTGCCCCCCTCAGTTCTAGCGCTGATACTCTCAGCCTGCTGTCTGCAGACAGAGGATCTAGAAGGCTCTTCCCTCAAGATTTGGGTCTGAGAGCAACCAAAGCATGCCTTAGACAAAGGACTGTGGGACTGTGGCTTCACTATTTACTAGCTTGTGAACCTCAGCCTCAGTTTCCCCCTTGTGCATGGCTCATAGAACTTGGTCAGTGCTAGCTTCTGTTGGCATTTCTCAAACAACAATAACCACTACTAGATGTACCCAGAAATTCATAAAGGGTTCAGAGTCTGGTTTAGTCTTTCAGTTTTGAATTTTTTAACTGAATATTTTTGTTTTGTTTTTTTTAAAAAAAATCTTTAGTATAGGCTGGGGCTATAGCTCAGTGAGAGCATTTGCCTACCATGCACTAGGCCCTGGCAGAGGCTAGAAGAGGACATTGGAAGAAGAAAAAGCAATAGAGGGAATATGAAAGGCCTTGAATACATCAAAACTGAGGCATTGAACTGGGAGGGAATTGAGCTCTGAATTACAGCCTTAGTATCTGAGGGGGCTATGCCTTCCATAGACATTGACCATGGTCTTGCTCCCTAGATCTTAAGTCTAACTGGGACCAAGGCAGAGAAAAAGCACCATGGATATATGTCATATACAATCCCACTGTATCCTGGAAGAGATCTTAGAGACCATTTGTGGCAAGATGAAAATGAAGTAAGGTTACTGGATGACAAAGATTTAGGAGTCCAGAGATCGAGAGAGATAGAGATAGAGAGAGAGAGAGAGAGAGAGAGAGAGAGAGAGAGAGAGAGAGAGAGAGAGTGAGTGTCCAGGCAAGACACTAGTGTGTACAGAGGTCCTGATCTGGGAAGAGGCATGTTTCCCAAAATAAAGGTCCATGGAACTAGAACAGAGAGAGAGATGGGGTCGAAGATACCAGCAGGGCTGGAACTGCAAGCTCTGAAAATCCCATGACACAGATGCCTGCTCTCTGTTTAAAGGCAGTGGGAAACCATTGCATGATCGAGTATGGAAACTGGATGGCCTGGTTTGTGTTTTGATGAGGACAAACATTTGTGATGGATTTGAGACCCACTTGAAAAATGGATTTCCCAGCTCTTATTGGAGTTGAAATGGGGGGTTGGGAAAGGTAAAAAGGATTTCAGCCAGGTTTGGGGTGATTCAGTTAAAATTGTCAATATCTAATCATTCAGACCACACATTTCTCATATAGCTCAATCTAAGAAATGGATGGTGAGATTGTTTAGAGAGGAGGAAAACCTCAGGACCAACAATTGGGTAAAGAAGTGGCATGGTGTTTGATTTTGAAGTGTCTAGGGCGGTCCAAGGTGGGTGTGCTTCCCCATCTGTTGGTTTGGAAACTCTAAATGGTGAATTTAGCATTCCCAACATAGAAATCAGTGAGAAGGGCATGGCTTGGATGGATGGCTGCTACTAGTCTGCTGCCTAGGATTGCCACTTATTTTATTTTTTAAAAAGTTTATTTTGGGGGGGCTGGAGAGATAGCTCAGAGGTTAAAAGCACTGACTGCTCTTCCAGAGGTCCCAAGTTCAATTCCCAGCAACCACATGGTGGCTCACAACCATCTATAATGAGATCTGGTGCCCTCTTCTGGTGTGCAGACATATGTACAAACAGAACACTGTATATATAATAAATAAATATTTTTAAAAATGTATTTTTTTAATTTGTGTATGCATATACCACATGTTTGCAAGTGCCCACAGAGGCTAGGAGAGGACATTGGATCCCTGGGAGCTGGAGTGATAGGCATCAGGGAGCCACCTGACATGGGTGCTGGGAACTGAGCTTAGGTCCTCCACAGAGCAGTCTACACTTTTAAGTACTAAGCCACCTCAACAGCCTCTGGTACCACTTAATTAAATGACATGTTTCTACCACATGCAGACCTGTCTACATCTTGTGAGATGAGTTATTTGTATGAAAACCTGGGTAAGGAATGACTGCTTAAAAGTGGAGCTAAAATCTCTAGAATGGTGAAGTGCACAGCAATTACCATTTGAGGTGAGAAATGATGTCTCTATTTAAGGTAAAAGGGTGTATTAGAAAGCCAAAGATACTGTTAGGAAATTGTCTCCCAAACCTACCCAAGATTTGAGCAACTCAATGGAAACACATTTGAATTTTCCTTGCCCTTGAATTGTGATTTTATGACCCTATTAAAACAACAACAAAAACCAAGCTCTCTACAGGATGAGTATGATTCACTCCAGCTAAGTGAGCTGTCTGTTTTGAATGACAAATGGGTGTTAGTGTTGCTTATCTGCTTCTAGTAATGGAAAGCAGCCCTTCTTAAAAATAATAAAGAGAGATTGTGGTTGACAGGACATTTAACTTCTCCCAAGTCCTACAGCATAATGGCAGATTATGAGCATGGCTTTGGGGAGCATTGTTGAGCTATATGGATCTTCGGGGTAGTTTGAAAGTCAAAATCATATTTCCCATGTAACCCCCCCCATAAAGTAAATCTGCTAAGGCTGCACATGGAAAATGGACCCTGTAATGCAAGCATCCTAGCAGATGTCTCACTGGGGAGAACTGTAGATTTAGCCATCTTTAACACCATCAGTGCCTCGGTTTGGATGAAATGGCCCCCATAGTCTTACGTGTTTAGACTCTTGGTCTCCGGCTGAACATGCTATTTTGGGTGGATCTGTGCTAGAGCCAGTGAGGACAGGGGGTGGACCTGGTGGGTTTTCAGCCTGGCTCCACATTCTGCCTGTTCTCTGCTTCCTGACTGTAGATGCGGTGTGACCCTTTGTTTTGAGCTTCTTGCTGCCATGGCTTTCTCACCACCATGGACTGCATCTCCTCAAACTGTGAGCCAAAGCAAACCCTTCCTTCTTTCAGTTGCTTTCATTGGGTGTTTAGTCACAACCATGAGAAACATAATTAATACAGTTGACATCGCCCCAAGACACTCAGTAGAGACCTTTTTTTTAAATAGTGTATATTTCTCTCTCTCTCTCTCTCTCTCTCTCTCTCTCTCTCTCTCTGTGTGTGTGTGTGTGTGTGTGTGTGAGTGTGTGTTTGTGTGTAGGTGTACATGCTGGTACCTGCCTGGGTGTGGAGGTCATAAGACAACATTATTGTGTGCCCTGCTTTATTACTCGGCCTTATTCCCTGTAACAGGGTCTGCCTCTCAACTTGGAGCTTGGCTGGACGCCAGGACCCTCCTGTCTCCAGTGTGCGCATGGCCACACCTAGCTTTTTATGTGGGTCCTCAAGTTCTTACTCTTGTACAACAAGGACTTTTACCCTGAGCCTTTCCCCTAGCCCTCAACTAATATTTTACCATCAGAGCAAAGGTTTTTGTATTCCAAGTCTTTCAGATTCTGATGGACTATTAGAAAAATTCAAATTTCACCAATGTTTGGGTTATTAAGTCCTAAGAGATCAATTTACTTTTCTACTTCTGAGGATAATGGCCTAAGGTGTAGGACTGTTATCGGTGAAACTACACTACAGGTGACTTGACTAAGTTCTCTAACATATATCTTTCTTTTAGGCAATTCAGTAACGTAAAGTAGCCCAAATAATATGCCAACTACAAAGAAATCAAATTTAGTAAAAATCAGGAAGCCCTTCATTCTTCAAAAACAGTTGTGTGGTGATATTTTATTTGTGCTAAATGTGGTGATATTTTATTTGTGCTCTAATAAATAAAACTTGCCTAGAGATTAGAGGAAAAACTAAACTATTATAAGTCAACACAAAAGTCATGCAATGTTAGCACACACCTTTAATCCTATCATTTGGCAGGCAGGGATCTGTCTGGATCTCTGTGAGTTCAAGACCACACTGGAAACAGAGCCAAGTGTGGTGGCACATGCCTGAAATTCCAACACTAGTTAACCATGGAGGTCTGTACAGACAGACAGGAAGTGACAGAGCTGGGCAGGAAGAGGAAGTGATGTAGCTGGACAGAGAGAGCAAATTAGATGGCAGAACAGCAAGGCATATAGGCGTGGGTAGACAGGAAGTCACTCGCATTTGAAAGCTGCCGAGTTGGTGGGGTAAGGTTAGCTGTGGCTGTTCCTATTCCTCTGATCTCTCTCAGGCTTTAACCCCTATATCTGGCTCCACTGTTTTTATTTAATAAGAGCATTTAGAAATTCATCTACACACTTGATTGAATGAATGCACATCATCTTTCCCCCCCAGTTAATGGGAGGCTGTGGCATTCTTTAAGAGCTGCACATTTCACTACCCACTGGGCCCGTTGGATCTCAAAGGCCTCTTTCATCAAGAATAGAGGTGCGTGGGAATCCTAGTAGTATTTAGGATAGAGCAGAGGTAACTGAAGGGCAAGCTGTTCAGAAACTTGATTGGCAACTAGTAGCTAGTGTGTTAGGAACATGCTATTCAGATTTTACACAGGGAGAAAGGATTTCACTGAGTTTTAGTTGATATGGTCCTAGTTATAACAACATCTGATGCCTTTACTGGTGGTGCCGTATCAAGGCAAAATGCAGCTCTTACTCCAAAGGGAATCAGAGATCGTTTATCTTGAGTGAACTATTTGTGACGATGCCCCCTGAACTCAGGATGCTCTGAATGGTGTGGAAGCAGTTAAACAAATTTTTATAGTCACATAACAAAATGCAGCCCTAGAGCAAGGCGGGAACATCAAGCAGACAGGTGACAGGTTACAGTACATACAGCAGGGAAGTCTCTGTGGTGGGTTTCAGATGCTACCTGATAATATTCTTAGCTTTGGATTGTTGGAAGCTAGTTATAGACGAGTTAAGCATGCCAAAGGTTGTACCTGATATTCAAAGGGCTGTTAGGCCAGATACAGAGGTGGGTGATGAATAGCAATTAAGGGTGTTCATGGTGACCCAAGATAATGACTCTGATACAGTGTTCCAACTCTCCA